GTTTGACAACTATTGGACCAACACCACTTTACGTTCTTTGCTAAAAGACTGTTTAATGGGGCGCGTAGACTATGAAGGTCAGGGATAAAAGCTCCATAATGACTGACGAGCCCCAGAAAGGATCGAAGTGTGGAAACATCTGTCGGTCTCGGCATTTCTTTCAAAGCTTGAGTGTTTTCTGGGTCTGGTTTTCTCCCGTCTTTATCGATAATAAAACCGAGGTAGCGCACAATCTGCATGAAATAGTGGCATTTTTTCCACACGAAGCCGGAATCCATATTCAGCTATTCTTAATAGCACCTGGTCGAGCTTCTTTTCTAAGTCTATTATATCAACGCCCATAATTATTGTCATACAGGTAAGCTGCAACGCCAGGGAGATCATGTAGCATAGTATCCATCACCTGTTGAAATATGGAGGGCGCGGTTTTGACTCCAAAAGGTAACCGATTATATCTGAATAGGTGTTAATAGTAAGCTGTAAATAAGCTTCCGATAAATCCAGTTTTGCAAACACCTTGCCTCCATTTAGCTTAGCGAAAAGATCCTCAGGTATAGGCAAGGGATACTGGTGGGGTTCTAGAGCATCATTCAGTCCCGTAGAGTAATCAGCACATAGACGGACACTTCCGTTTGACTTCTTGACAACCACAATCGGTGCAGCCCATTTGGAGAAACTTACAGGTTCAATAACACCCACTTTGAAGTCGTTCCAGCCCCTGTTCAACTACTGGGAGAGAAGCATAAGGTACAGGTCTTTTCGGTCGAAAAACAGGAATAGCTGTTGACTTGAGAGTCAGTAGTGCTTTGGCTTTGGTACATTCGCCTAGCGCTTCCGAAAATACTTCATGATGCCTTTTTATAATGGCATTTCTCAGACTTGACTCTAAAGGGTTATTGATTCTAACTCGGCTGCAGATGTTGTTGATAGAATGGTCTGTTAATTTTAATGCATCTATGAGATCCAACCCCAATAAATCAAGGTCTGGGTTTTTAGTTAAGTATGCAGTTGCACTCGTTGTTGCCTCATTTTTTGAAACAGTGCACAATATTTCTCCAACAATATTTAACTTACCACCAGATGCGCTGTGTGCTAGTTGCTTCGTTTGGTGAACTGTAGGTCTTCCGTCATTGATGATAATTTAAATCGTTCGCATTCACGATTTACTACGCCGGCGTGCTTTACCCAGTCATCTTCATTTGACTTGGTTATTTTGAGGCATTGATAACGAATATTAAAGAGAGATGACTGTTCAGAGAAGATTTGCGACAGCGTTTCAATTGTAGCATCAAAAGAGAAATCTCGTGGGTTCTTTGGGAGGATGAAATTACTATAACGTTCGTGTTCGATTGTGCCGAGCTTTCTCAAGAGGATTCTGACTTTGGTGGCGTCATCAAGATTGTTGAGGTCGACCTTGAACAAATCCTCATACTTCTTGAACCAAGACTCGAAAGTCACACCAGCAAGGCCATGAAAATGAAATTCATGAATGGAATTAACTATCGAGTCTGCATGTGGATTATATGAGTCGTCGATAAGACGTCTGTGATTCAAATTCATTTGTTTCATTAACAACTCCAACATACGTTCCTGGAACTGTTCAAATCGTTTTGCTTGACGTTCCAGTAAAGATTCTATCTGTTCAAGGGTAATTGGCATTGTGGGTTGAACACTCCGTCGCCACCTTTATGTTTTCTGCTTGATGTAACGCCAACCACTGTATTAATGACCCCCGAACGTTAGACTCCCACCGTTCAAAAATAAGAAGACGGAAGACGCTGGAGATCACTTTTTAACAGAATCAAAAATATACAATCAAACATGCGTATTTATACAATTATACATATAATCGATATTGTCGTTTAAATATTTGAATATTAAATCCAATAGTTCATCGATCGACTGCCCTTGAAATATTTGAGCATTTGATCGATAAGTTCATCAATCCAAAATGTGCGTGGCTTTCTTCTCGATTGTCTATCCCAACAACACTACAGTTACAATATATAATAACTTGCAAAAAATTATCTACGTGAAAAAAACAATTTCATAAATTCCTTAATAAGAAGAACGGAGGGTAGGTTCAAGATTTCCTTTCAATGGCTGATCGGAAGATCAATAAGTGGGTAATCATTCTCATCATGGGATGAAACAAAGTATCTAAAGTGTGTAACTCTTGTCCTTCTATATCTTTACAATTTTAAAATATTTATGAACTGTTTTAGGATTTATATAAAGGCTTCCATTCATTTACTTAATATGTGTTATTTTATGTGTAGTGGAACGCTTCTACGAAGAAAATGCGATTTTTGAAATGTAAACATTATTGTACTCGTTTTATTTAACTGTACCAAAAACACTTCTACTACCTCTCGCGCGCAACGTTCTCTTCGCGTTGCCGCCATGTTTCTCTATTTGCTGCTCCCCATGTAATGCCAACGTTCTCCTTCAATAAAACTACGGAATATGGATTTATTTCGTTTTGCTTTTCGTGACGCGACCGTATGGAATATTTAGTGGTGAGCATAGTAAATCTGGTATCTGGATTCGCTCACAACACATGTATGAAACCTTTGATATGACAGTCAATCACTCCACATCATGTATTTCATCGCGTTTGGACTTTTGACTAAGTATTCAACATTGACAGTTTCTCGAAAAATTCTAGTAGATATGTTATCATAAATTATCTCAATAGTTCCTTCCAGTTTTTGTATCTCGGTCAGTTAGCCAGTCAGCGACAACATAGAATTTGGTACGTGCGTACATCAGTTCAAGTTGTCATAACATATTAGTATGGAGAGATGAGACCGTCTGTCCGGAACCCATGGTGGTAGAGGTAGTACGAGCATTCAATCTTGTCTGATAAATGTTGCTCAGCAATGTGTTTGACGCTGTATATTTCTGATCAATAATGGGACGCATTATAAATGATCCTATAGTTCTACGTTTCGGGTGGAATCATATTTCGTTGTTCATTTTACAGTGCTGAGTAAATTTTGGTTGAGAAATTCCTGGTTCAGTATAGGATTTTACAGCCGAAAAGGTAAAATAAGAAAAAAGATGCAAACAAGCCACTCGCATGTTAACACATTTCAAATTATATTTTGTAAAACGATTTAGATCTTGTTGCTGTGGAGAAAATGTGGTGGTAGTTTTGGTCAAACAGAATAGATTTATGTATGCCAAAAACTATTAAAATGTGATGAGTTTATTTTGTCAAAGGTCTAGAAGTCTGAAACTAATGAAACAAATGAAGACCATCATTAACAAAGCTTACATTGATTGTTTTCAAACATTTTCTACTCTTACTCAAACATGTTTTTTTGCGTAGTATCACACTACTTGCTATTTGCAAGTAGTTCAAAACATTTTGATGATTTTCACAAGGGTTATTCTTTTAGAGATAACTAATTCAACTAACCGTTGGTTATTGTGCTTTACCGACTCGAAAACGTGAATTCATATTCATCATCATCAATTTTTAGTATCCACGTATGACAATCTTATTTCTGTTCATGTGTCTGGAGGACCCAACTTGATTTTCATCCTTCCGTCAGTGATATTTTGAAACCTAGTGATTTTTTAAATTCCTACTACAATCGTAATATTAGACAAGACTTGTGTTTCGATTTGAAAGTTTGGGCGGCTAACTATTAGGTCCCCTTCACGTACGATAAATCGTATTAGTTTATGAATCTCAATAAAATGAAAGTAATAGAAAATTGCAGTGGAGGCTAAATGATTGAATTTAGAACATTAAAAACGACTAATACCTGTTTACCAAAATAGTATTTTTGACGATTCCAATATTAAAACTGATGACTTCAGTTTAACCCTATACCTAACAACAAAGTGACTTCAAAGTTAGGTATTACCGATTCATATCATGGGTTTCTATAAAAATGATATAATTTAACTAGAACGAATGACATGAAATTTTCTCTCAAGTTTCTCATAAGGACCTTCGTTTCAAATAAGCTATGACTGGCTAAAATCTCTGGACAGCTTATAAGGTTTGAAATCAAAGATTTATCAAAAAGTATATGGTTTTGATCCTTATTTATGGTTCTTAGTAGAGTTAAGACCCATATAATAATTGTAGACTATGTGAGTAAATGTATTTGTTATAAGTTCCTTGCAGTGCATATTTATAACCGTTTGAAATCCATGACAGCGGTAGTAATCCGTTGGAAGAGTAAATAATCAAATTACTGTAGAATCTAATCAACCCTCATTAACAAAGGTTATTATATCATTTATATTATATGTAATTGGTAGCGGGGACAAGAGCATCTCAACAATGAACCAATTGAAGCCAACTACTTGTAGCTGAATTCATCAGAAAAAAACGAAAACATTTTTTTACGTCTTAACTTTTTTACTCGATAACAATAATCAATTTAAGACTAGACTCATTCTTCCCGAATTATTCATCCCTAGATCAATCAGAGTTAGACATTAAAACCGTTGGATGCCGGCCCACTGGTCCGATGGTTAGGCATTCGCCTACAATGCCGAAGGTCCCGGGTTCGAATCCTACGAGGTGCAGGAGTCGTGGATGCGCACTGCTGATGAGTCCCACACCAGGACGAAACTGCCCCAGCCCAGCGCTTCCAGGTCTCTAATGGTGGTCTAGTAACAATGATTGATTAATGATTTCAAATGTGTAAAGAAAAAAACACAAAAAATATAACATTTTGCTAAATGTTAGTAGACAAAATATTTTTTTATTGTTGCTAGATAAAACAATAGAATATCAAGTTATTATTATTTATCTTACATATCATCAAATAATTCTTCTTACTTCTTTCTTCATTTAAACAAAACACAATATTTTTGTTGGAAAGAATAAAAGAAACAACACAACTAAAAAAAAATACCATAGATTACAACAAATTAAATTAACAATAATAATAATAATAATAATCATAGTCAACAAGAATAATGATGTAATGCTTGATTCATGCCTACTGATTAGTTAGTAGTATTGTGTAAACGAAATATATATATATATATAAGCTGAAACAGTAATTTGTTTGAAAAGCTGAAAATAAGAAAAAAAAATTATTTTTTAAAACAACAAATCTCCCAGTACAATATGCTGTCTAGTGAGAAGAGAGAAAATTGATTTCTTTTTAGAAAAAAACAACTGAATAGTAAATTAGATTGGAAATATGAAGATCATAGGCCATGTCCATAGAATTTTTTCACTTTGTAGAGGATATACGGTTAGGTCTCTTTTAACGTTTTTGAAATAATTCTGTTATTAGTTAGTGTTTTTTTTGCGTTAAAGAATAACAATATCAAATATTCATCATCATCATCATCATCATGATGTTTTGTTAAAATTCTAGTAAGTTTCTAATTCATTTAACTCTGAGATAGTTGCTTCTGACATTGAATAAGATGAAAGAGCTTCCGACATATCATGCATTTCTTGTTCAACACCATATAATTCTCTTAAATGTACACCTTTAATTGGTCTTTCAGTACGTGCTGTAAATAATTCACTTTTCGGTTGATTAGAAGAATACGACTGACGACTTTTAAAACTTTCACCACCATTTAATTTATTCGGATCATTCACTTTTCTAGTTGTTTGTAATAAATAGAAACGTGCAGCTGCTTCAGCAGCTTCACGTTTTTCTGTTTCATTACCTGAATGATTGACTGATGCAACAGCTTCTAATTTTTTACGAACTGAAGGTGGCATTAAAAGACTGCGCAAGCCTCTTAACCTATTCTCATCACCAATTTCTGTGGCTGATTTTGTTGGTACTTCGTCAATATCTTCATCACCTTGAGTTTTACTATTATTCCGCGATAATTTATCTTGACTGATTTCTTGTTTACGTTTCACTTCATGATCCATCATTTTTTGTATTTGTTGTCGTTGAATATTCATCACGGAAAATTCTGTCAAAAGTTAAGAAGATAGGAGAGATATTTATTTAAAGTTTAAAACTAATTTTTACTAGCGACTTCAACAAAACAGTCAAAATAGTCAGTTTTGATGTGATTAAGTTCAAAGTGATTTTTTGTTCAATGTTATGTTAGTTTTTTTCTCTCTGTTAAGCATTTCTGACGGTCAATGAATGAATACATAGTGTTTTATTTTTGAAAATACTCATGCAGCGTTTCGTAGTAAAAAATTAATGAAGTCCATTTCACGACTATGCATATAATGTTAGTGTTGCAGTTTATCAAAGCACGATTTCATGATAAACTAGAATAGATTAGGTACATAGAAATAAAAATATGTTAAGCCCTTATGTTTAGAGTGAGACAAATGAAAATTACAATGTGTTTAATATTGTGGTTGTGTTGAATTCGAAATAGGGCTCATCACTTTAGTGGTCTGCGATTTGAATTCAATCTTTGAGAAGAACCAAATAAACTATCAATTAAATCTTCCCTTCAGCTTGCAAATATCATACTTAGGCGAACCCTGTTTGTGTGATGAAGGTAATGAAGAACCGAATACGGTTTTGGGGACTCAGTGTAATGAAGCATGACTAAGTATATATATACGCACTGCTGATGAGTCCCATACCAGAACGAAATGGCCGTTCAGAGCTCCCAGGTTTCTAATGATGGTCTAACAATGATTGACTGATGATTTCAATGCGTAAAAACACTAATCTCCATAACTTTAATTGAAAAAATTAGTACTTATAGTCAGACAAAATAAGCTCGATATGTAATAAACGAAGTAAGCAATGCATACACTCAATGGAATAAAAACAACCAATGATTGACAAGATCAGAAGACATGCAAATAGTAAGTTATGCAGGAAAGGTTAATTAGTTAGTCTGAAAGCTGGAATAAACCCTATGGGTTCAGCCTATTAGTTATACACACTACAATATCAATATGACTTATCATTTCCTGAGGCTGATTTCATTAAAACCTATGTTATCACTAATCATTTGATTAGGACTGGGTTTTTTCATCTCTCTCCTAACTATCACTTGGAAATTTAAATATAGATTTTGATGGAAAATAAATATTTTAAACCATAAAAATTCCCTGCGAAACATTCAAATTAGTGCTTCATTGAAATCTTAAACTTGTTTCAAGTTTTGATGGTTCAGTTGAAAGAAACGTAATCAAAGGCGTTAAAATTGATTGATCAAATAAAATGTAGCGGTTAAATATCTGAGTAAAACCTAATCGATATAATATCTCATAATCTTCGCCATTTAAAAAGTTAAGTAAAGTGAAACCACTTCTCCATTTCATAAAAATGTCCAACGATTAGCAAATCAATAGTAATTTAAACTCTCAAAGTTAGTGTCCATAGTTTGAATGGCAGCATTTAGCTTACTGAGAAGCCAAAAAACCTTAAAGCTTTTGGGAAATGGAGGGTTTTATTTGATATATCATGATTATTTGCCACATTTACACTAAAAGACATCGTACGAATTACATGTCAACACGTTGACCTACTGCTGAGAAAAAGCCAGTTTTCCCAAGAATTAACTTCAGTGGTGATGAAATAGGTGGGAAGACTTGTTTGAAATTAAATGCTACATCGAAAAGGACATATAAATTGGCAAAGTTAATCCCGTTGTATCAGACAAATTGCTCACTAAGAGAGTCAGCTGTGAACAGATTCGAGCCCCATGTCACATTCAATTGTGTCTAATAATTTACTCATATATTGGAGTAACAGTAATGTATCTGCATTTCTAAGCATATTTCACAGAAACAGTCCAAAATAACTATGTTTTGATTCAGTGTAACTGTTCTCCATTCACTTGACAGCGCACATAATATCAATGTCTTAAAGCTAGTCAATAAACATACGATTCTGGACTTAATCAGCTATGCTGAAGCAGTTGTTATAAAAAGATTTAAACCAGATTAAGGTAACCAAAAATAAGTAGCTATAAATTCCTCATTACCTTAAAGAGCTCAGTCACAAGTATCTCATATGTAATCTTTCTTCTGTGACACTGATTATAATTTTATATTTCCTAAGTATTATTTAAACTATTTTATGAATTTTCATTTCTAAAATTTTGTCTCTATACTTCGTCTATTTTTTAAAATCCTTCCACAAGTTAGTGCATTTTGTTCATCTACACCTACGTGTCAAATCGAATTTTCATAAAGACTTCTCACTTGCAGTCTATACATAGTTTGATTTCTAAAATAGTTAGTGTCAACATTTTTAAATTGAAAAGTGTTCGAAACAAATACTACAATCACTGTTTTTATTCAGCTTATTGGAATGTCGATTTTTTTTTTATCAAATATCAAGAGTTTAAAGCAGTTATTGCCTGGAAAAACTGAACTTATTATGTTGAATAGTTTATATGGATTTTCCACACATGGAAACGTAATCAATATTTTGTATAAAATTAATTATATGATAATAAGGTGCTTAATAAAGTTAACTTCACTGTCATCAGATAAGGTTGATTCTTTATTGACTTAGAGATTTTAGGTATTAGCCAGCAATTCTCAGTTTTTGGAACTGAAAAAAGCCCCAGCGAAAACGTATTACTGATTTTACTTGATGATAAATAATGTATTCAATAAACTACTATATGTAGTTTTAAAGATGCGTTTTTGGAATTGCAATCAAACGTTTAAATTCCTAAACCAATATTGGTAATTTTAACATTTCATAAGGTACGATATAAATAGAAAAAACGAAGTTAAAAGTCTATTTTTGTTACATTCATACTGGTCTCATGATTATTAAATCAAATTATTCATCATGAACTAGATCTCGTTTTATTGAATAAGAAATATGAAATGTAGCATAGGATTTATAATTTGTTATAAATTTACTTAACATCTTGTGCTCAGACAAAATAAACATGTTTTAAATTGAGCCAGTCAAGTCTAACACTAAATAGACGCAATCCTTGCTATATACTAGGTAATCTTTTAAATAATATCTGTAAGATCCATTTTTGAAGGCTTTGTTTGTGAAAATCCCTCCATGTATACATTTGTAATTGGTCCTTATAGATTCCTTCAGTTGTACAGTTGGTTAAACTGTTTGATCCTATTTGAGATGGTTTTGTTTGAATTTTATTATAGTTTCTATTTCTTTTGCCTTCACTGAGTTTCTATGTTTCTTTCTGAACTGCATTTATGTTGTTTAAACTGATACTTTGTCATGGTGACAGCCATATAGATTTGTTCCTCTTTTGATTGTGTTGCTTGCTTGGACTGGAATTGTGCATTTTGATTTTGAATTGAAACACTCTTCCAGAATTAAAAACACTGTGTTTTAAAGCAACCAAATACTATCTTTCGAACGATTCTGATCTATCCAGGAGTAATAGAACAACATTTATTCGTTGCTGTTGATTTGATTAAATGAACAACTGTGGGTGGAATAACTGAGTGGTAATATTTGATTAGGTAATGATGTATATTAATATGTATGATGAATATTAGGACCATCATTTACCCAAATCACTTGTTTGGGATTTCAAATGAGTCAAGACGCGTATCTAAACTATCTAGACAGTTATTCCTTAATCCAAACCTCAGTTTGGATCTTACAATATCCATAAAGGGTACATTCTGTTCCTTTGTAGATGAACCATAAAAAAAGGAGCATATTTAGCAATTTACCGGTTGATTTTTTCCCCTTATTTAGTCATCTAATTGAATTAGTTATGAGTTGATTGTATTCACTGACTAGAAAACCATTGTAAATCAATAAAAAAAACACACAACCACAAATCATTTCATACCGCTCGATTTTGATTCTTCTTCTTTCTGTTTCTGCAGTTTGAATAAATACCGACGCATTACATCTGCACGTATAGTATCAGTATGAAGCTGAAATAATTGAATGAAAACATTGTTAAGTAATTAAATATTTAACTATTCAGTAAAAGGATGAACTGAACTTTATGACATTCAAACACTTTTGAACTTGGACTATTAGAACGCCTATGGTAATAAGCCCATTAAATATCTTACATCATTTTGATGTAAACACTACATTGTTTGGCTGGAATCATCTTCAACTATCTAATATACAGGTACCTAGTGTCGCACTGTGGTGAAAGTTAGGGTTTGAAATGAAATCTTTATTGAAAATCACACTGTAATCCACTGGAACTACTCACTAGGAGAGAAAGAAATGGTTAAAACTGGTGAATATAAAAACTTTTGAAGATAACCTCAGCTCACTGTTTCAAACTGAGTTATTGTCATTATTACTGCTGCTATCACAAATTCTTAAATTAATTTTGAAACGAATAAAAATTATAATAGAACTTATCAATAAGACATAAATTTAACTAACAACGTGTATTTTCTTTATGGTAACTAATAATATTACAAAAAATCACATTTTTGAAGCCAGCAAATCAATTGCATTTCAACGTTACATATTCGCTTGAAATATTTTCATCTAGAAACTTGAATATAATAGAAATCTCATCTGTATGGTAACTTTTATGATCGACTCTGTATTCTACGATTTAGTATGGAACAATAATTGTAACAGTAAATAAAAGTTTGAGTTTGATGTGATTTTCTTGTTTTTATTGATAAGCTAGTAATTATTGGATCTGATTATGATTAGTATGGAAAATTGATGTAAATCGGAAAGACAGTCAAAATCAAAGAACATTGAACAGCAGCTTCATAATATTAATAAATTATCGAATGCTTAGTCAATTTTCTGTGAAAATTAGCACCAATTCAATTAAGTTGATTTTGTAGCTAAATGATGTATAACAAAGGATTTCGATGTTTTTTGTTCAGGAAACAGTATTATTCTCCTTGGTGCCTAAGATAAATTTGAGATAGGCATATTTTTAGTATAGATGATTTCTGGAGATCTTGGATTTTTCTCATTTTAAGTTACAAACTGATCTTAGACCATCAGCGTAAACCTAGAAGCACCGGATGACCATTTATTTCTGATATAGAACGACTTGAGACAGTTATTCATTGCAAATAATGAATAGGTGTGCAATGTCATGTGCTTATTGAAATTAAATAATAACGACGTCGAATACTGGCTCAGTGGTCTGCAGGTTAAGCTTTCGAGTATGATGCCGAAGGCTCTGGTTTTGGTTCCCAGACGCTGTGTTTTAGTTGTATACTGCTAAGGAGTCCATTACTGAGGTAAAACGGCTGTTTTTTTGTCTAGTTACGATTAATTCGTGACTTAATCTGTGAAAACAGATATATTCATCAGTTTTTGAAGTCCATCTTCTAAAAGGTATCTTGTGAATTCCAGAGTCAATGATGTGAATTTATTTCATTTAGGTTATGTGAACATATGAAGTGCTTTTCTAAGCGTTATAATTCTGATTTTGTTTTCAAAAGTGTAGGTTTATTCAGAAAAATTTTAAACGAAGTGATTTTGTAAACCACATTCTTGAAGATATCATCAGGAACAGGATTAGATTATTAATTTAAAACCAACATTAAACAACGCACAATCTCATGTTGTTGATTACCGTTTTAAGTACAATAAAATAAGAACAATAATGATCTGTTATTCCTTTCTTCATCTTTTTTTTTTTATTAATCAGAAACACTGAGTTGTACGTCAAAACAAAAGTCTTGTTCAATGTAACTGTAAAACCTAATATATATTAGGAGATAACTACTTTCATCTACTGTAATAAGAACAAATCTTAATTTGTGAAAATTTTACACAAAAAATTTATGATACTGAATAATATTCAACAAGTGTACATAATACATTTTATCATTGATAATTGTAAATTTACCTTATAATCGTTAAGAATTTTTTCAGTTTCATTCTCACTTTCTGATACATCTGAAATCCATTCATTTGAATGTATCGAGTTAGTATCTAATAAAGTACTGACAGTAGTTGTTGTATGCGTTTTACAAATATTTTGACTTAACTGTGAATTCACTGAATGAAGTTTATTAGGTCGATTAAATGGAATGGTGTTTTCATTTTTTTGTAAATCACAATGATATTTTGTATAGAGTTTTGGTTTCTTCCAATGTATTATACTATGAAGTCGTGATAATAACGATGATAATGCTTCACGTGATGGCAGTAAATTCAATGGGACCGGAAGTACACCTTCTTGATCAATATACACTAACCACAGACGTGCACGGGCAAATTTCCATTCTTCTAAACGATCACCCTATTTTAACCAGTAGAGAAAGATACAAATATAATTTGAATTTCTTTTTGTTTTGACATTTACTGAGAAATATTCACTTAGCATGTATCGATGACTTGTTAAGTTATCAAAATATCTATGTACTTCATTGGTATGCAAATATATTTGGCAGCTTCTCAATTTGAAGGTCAATTGCTTATACAAATTCAGGACTAGTATGATGAGGAATTTATTGATTGTTTCTGTTGTGGGAAATTAGAGTTAACCAAGGTTTTTAACTATCATTTCACATACTTTGAACATTTGACAAAGTATTTTATAGTTGGATATTTATTTATATAACATAAATGTATTACACTTTTAGTGACACAACAAATGTGGTTAAAAAGTAGGAAAGCCTATTCCGCTAGGATAGTTCCTAACAAGAACTCAATTTTTACTTAAAATTCAGTGGTCAATCAATAATTTCACTATATTTAACAATTTTTTGAAAATAGGTGATCGTATATGGTTAATGAAAAGTTCTAGTAGACTTAGGTTACAGGCTTCTTAGCAAGCTGTTTGTACGATTCGAAGGGAATGGATTTTCCCCGCAGTATTCCAACATGCCTCACTCAAAATTATAATCACAAATGTTACCAATTTCATACTTGTATTTCAAAACTAGTTCACAACTACACACGTTGTACGGCAAATTAAAATCGAAATTTCAGTTAATTACTAGCTATTGATAACGAAATATTAAAAGAAAACTATATTTTGGTTATCTGTTGAGAAAGCTCAATGTCACATGTATGTATCCAACTAAACACAGAATCAATAAACGTTTAACTAACGACTTCACTCAAAGAGATATAAAAAGCTACATATGATGTAGTAGATTCAAAACTCAGATGATTGGTGCTAGTAGAGTTTCGTTTCCTGAGATGGATTCAACTTATCATCCTATTCTATACAATATTCGTCATAGGATTAACTCCATCGACACAAGTGTCATAATTTTGAAAAAGCCTACTCCTGTTTCTATTCGCAGTCGATGGTTTACTTCAGAGATGTGAAAATGTGATGATTAAACTCTCCGAATCAGGGAATACAACGCTGCTAAAAGCCAAAATCAATTAAGTGAATCAGAGTAATGCCATACAGTATTTGTTAAAGTGTAGTTTTGACAGTATTGAGATGCACAGTAATCTCCATTAAGTGTATATCTTTTGGAAATATATAAATAAATTAACTAAATGAATACTTATTAATCGAGAGTTAGTTAGAAAAAATTTAATTACCTGTATCTCATCAAATGATTTGCTCATCATAGCGATTAACATATTCAACAAAATGATAATCATGCAAGCATTATATATTGCATATAGAATACTTCCAAGATTGTTTACTATGTAAGGACTACTGTCTACTGCCAAATATTCATGACCAGGGTACATACTGGCTAGATTTTCATCAATAGTTGTCACATTAGTTGACGATTGTCCAAACAGTGCCCAGTATAATGTATGAAAGGTAGCACCCGTGCTAAATGTATATAATTAATAAAATGAAAAAAACGCGTAAATTACGAAATGAGAAATTAATTGTCATGTTTCATTTTTCATTCAAGTAATTTTATGTAGACTAAGACTCTAAATTAAAGTGCGAATTAATCACCGTAGCCATATTCAATATAGAATAACACTGAATTAAACATGATTTGTCAGCAGACAACAAATTTAGCTACAGGATGATGATACTATAATTTACTAGCCATTACCCTTCTTTTATAATAATGAATGAATATTAGTGATGAGCATCATTAATGAGCAAGGTGGATCTGATGCAGATGTGAATGTGCGGATCAGCAAAGCAAAGGTAGCATTTTTACAATTGAAGAACAAGTGGAACTCGAAACAGTCATCGACAAACACTAAAGTCAGAATTAACACAGTTCTATGGTACGAGCAAGAAACTTGGGAAACCACGAAAGATACGAGTTTTTTACTAACAGCTGTCTATGCAAAATACTGAGGATCCGTTGACCTAGATACCATCAGTAACAACCGACTGTGAGAGAGAACAAACCAGATGCCCGAGAATCGGAAGCAGACATGAAAAGAATGAATAGAGATCGGATAGAGTAGGTTTGAGAATGCTGATCGGCAACATTTACTCCATTAGGGGTAACAGGCGTATTAATTGATGAAATTCTATCAGTTATAATATAACTTGTTCAAGCACCAACTATATATTGTTTTAGAATCTGTGACAAGAAAGATGAACCAGATATAAATTGCGCGAATATATTATTTGTTGTTTTAGCAATTTTAGTAAATTTATTTAGCAAAAGTCCACAGAACTGGTAGTATTAGTTACTACCTAATAAAGCAGAGATTTATTGAAATATTTTTGATAAACATAAGATGAAGTAGCAGGATATTTCTTTTCAAATAACGCCCGAATTATGTACAACACTTCAAAATTATACAGGATTCGACATTTGTGTAACTATTTGGTTAAATTTTAACGAACATTTAAATAAAAAATTGTAAGAAATATCTATTACAATTTTCATAATTATAAATAAAAGTATATAATTTTTGTACGTATCAGTATGATAGCTGTTGATTAAGGTTTTGTTACGAATGCACGTACACACGTCATTTGATATGCCTGAACTATTACGAGTTTACCTTAGTCGGAAAATGAGAGCAAGGATCGAGGATCCGGAGACATGACAAGCTATTCTAATCAGATTGTTCCGAATTCCCCCATTGAGTAAAGGAAAAAGAATTGATGTAAAGTAGAACATGTATTCTACAAGCATCCAGAAAGTACGAGTTCCGAGTCCAGAAGAGAATCAGGATCCCGGAGTAGGGATCCGGGTCCGGGTTATAAAACGATACAGATAATGCGTATTTATACAGTTAGGTTGAATAGGAAACAACATTGGAGTACGTGACATTGATAGCTAGGATGACCATAATATTGACCAGTAGGAATTGACCAATAGAATTAGACTTAGAAAAATAATTCTTTTAAGATATTTGATGAATATCCTAACACGTTTAAACAGTAGTTTTTTTCAGTATTGACCTAATGCCTTGTTTTGAAGACGAAAGGTAACCACAAAATATTTACATATTTCTCCTTTGTAAAATAGTTTGTCTAGTACAATTAGTCACTGTTTGAATTTACACACTATAGAAAGTTAGCTGGAATTGTAGTTGATTTTATTTGATGTGAAATAGATTTTCAGTATGTCTGAAGAAACCGACAGAAATTTATTAACGATGCTTTAATGGAATCAATGTTATTTTAGAAATTTACAGTGGAATCATACATCTATGTTTTTTACACCTGTTCTTAATACGTTAACTGAGTAACTCTCAATTAACAATTTGAAAAGATCAAGTAGTTTTACCAAATAGTATGTCAATAGTATATAGATTTCTTGTAAAAGTGACAAAATGTATACATTTTTAGCCAATGAAATTGTTATGCTTCTCAGTCGATATGCTTGAAACTATTACGAGTTCACCTTAGTCGGTAAACGAGAACGAGACAATGAACCAGTGACACGATAGGCTACTCTTATCTGCTGACCCAACTAAATGAAGAAAAAGTCTCGATATGGTGTATAAAGTGTATTTTACAAGCTTACGGAAAATATAATGATCTCAAGCACACAAAACGCGTTTATTTATACATCATAGAAACGTCCTTGGAATAGCCACAAAAATAGCGTACTAAAATAACATATCAACTAATGACAATCAATTATCTTCCTGTCAACTGATCAGCCGATGATTAAAACCCCAAACTAAGACCTTTATCAAGTGAGTTCTAGGGATCTAACTGGGATAAATATGCTTATGGAGTATTACGAGAGCTATTTACCTTATGATTAGAAAATTCATAGATTAAATGACAGACTGACCGTAACTAGAGAATTGATTTTTGTTTTTGTTGCATCAAAATGATCAGGACTACGCAACCACGAACCTATCAGTAATCTAACCCTGAAACTTTGACCTTGATGGTAGTAAACTACTCTTATAAACGTAAGTTGAAATGCAATCATTAACTTCTTTGACTACATTAAAATGGTGTCACTACTCTGTGACTATCATTCAACATCATTCACAAAACCAGCCTAAAGCCCAAGATAATTGAAATTCACCATTCATAACTTTTCAGTATCACCTCAGAGATATCCCTTACAGTACCTATACTTCGGAGACCTAATAATAACCTAGCTAAAGTCAGTCTATGATGAAAGTCACAAATCGATTAGAGTACCGTAGATTCCTATGATTAGAAGAGCTGAACATATTTTATAGAGAATTTGAAACTGAATGCTTTTCTTATGACAATTAACACAAAATACAACTATCTAATTCCCATCTGTTAGAAAACAACATTTATATCAATTGCTTTTTTTTCCATTCATAAAACTTAGAGTATAACTATTATTATTATTATTACTACTACTACTACTACTACTACTACTACTATTACTACTACTGCTACTACTACTACTACTACTACTACTACTACCACTACTTAAAAGTCATTTATCACTGTCCAGTATTCTTACTTCTTCTCATCAAATAGCTGACAATGTGTTTTGCCATTTTGTAGTCTATCAGTTGATTAACTTGATAATGATGAATGAAATATAGATCCTCTTTAAGTTGTATAAATCTCCTATCGACTATACTCGTTAATAATAATAAAAGGAAATGAAAAGACAAGTAGGAAAATGTGTTTCGGACATTTATCATTCAACTATTCAAACATAAATAGTAGACAAACAATGTTCATTGAGACAAACTTAAATATAACCCATCTTATATAAATAATGTACAGAATATATGTGTAGCTAGATAGACACTTAACTATTACCATTCATACGCGTACACAAACGATCAAGATTACAAGTGAACAATATTGAAAAGGATGAATGTATATCTGAAAGTGTGCAAACTAACTAAAAAGTTTTAGCAAAATGTGTAGAGATTTTTTAACATATTTCAGTAGAAAACTATATGGTAATATATATGTTATACTTATTTCATGATTATTTCGATCTTAAAGCATTTTCTTACTGATATTATGTGTGTTTTTATTCTGACATTCACTAACTCTAAGTGAAATGAATACTTTGTTAACACGCAACCGAATGTAACTTAACAATGAAGGCGGAAAAGTTGAAAGTTGATACTTGTGATCCAAATATTTACAGTTTCCACTTCTTTTAACGATATAAAAACAAATCTTACATAAAAAAATTGAAATTTGAATGAAACTGAAATTTTTTTTAAAACGTAGAATTAAGTAATAAAGATTTATATTCAATAACGTTGAGTAATTAATCGTCAGAAGATTTGATAGAGAGAGAGAGAGAGTAAGGGAGAAAAGCATACATTGGTCCCATTTGTTTTTGTGTATATATGTGGGGAAAATCGATATATTACTGAAATTATTTGAGTAAGAACTATAAATTTATTCGATATGATCAGTTTTATTGTTTTGCATTATTTTAACGTATCGTGTTCAGTTATCATTTTGAGAAATAATCGTTCGTCTTAATTAATTTGGACTTTGTAAATTATTGACTAACAGAATTTTAGTCAAACGAATTCTTTTGAAAATTTTCGAGAATTTAAAGCGATGTTATTCACAAACTCAAACATAGTTTGTTTATTATTGTGAATAAATGAATTTTCATTAGAGGAATTATTTCCTAATGAAGAGCTTTCATTTGATCTGATCAATAATCACCGATCTTATAAAAACCAGGTTTTACTGTTGATAAACAAAATACGATTTTACTTTCTTAAAAAGTGAGATTAATTAGTCAAGCAATAAAGTGACAATAAGTTGTTTAATTCCCGAAAAATTCTCTTTTAGTGTTAGATAAGATTCTTCATCTAAAGTTATGGAAGAGGTTGTTCTTTATTACTGAAATTATGATTCAGTCATTGTTAAAACACCATTAGAAACCTGGGAGCACTGGACGGTCATTTCGTCCTGGTATGGGACTCATCGAATTGTACAATGTGTTCACGAGTGATTAGCTTCGGAAGAAATTTCTCGCAGGTCTAGTCAGATGTGACAAGTAGAGTTCAAGCCTGTTGGATGTAGTCAGTAACTACCAAAGATAGATGGGTGAGTTCGTGCAAAATCCCTAGATTATTCAGAATTAGACATTAACACTATCGGATGCCAGCCCAGTGGGCCAGAGATTAGGCGTTCACGCGCAATACCAAAGGTTCTGAATTCGAACTCTATGAGTAACAGTAGTCGTGCATGTGCACTGCTTGCCAGTTCTATACCAAGAAGAAACGGCCGCCTAGTGCCTCTAGGTTTCTAATGGTAGTCGAACAATGACTGATTCGTGATTTCAGAAAAGACTTGACTACTAATCAGTTTCAATTTCAATCTAACTATCATTTGGATGATAAATGATAACGTTTTTGTTAATGGTTATGAACGATCGGTTTTGTGATCATTAAATACTTATTACAGATACAACTAAGTGACAGATATCATCGAGTATGGTAGCCTTATTGAACGTTTCATGTAATATTACTTGTAATTAGCCAAGATTATATTAAACATGCGTTTACACTCAACCTTTGTTTTTCAAATTTAGTTAGTAAAATTCATTTGATATTTTAGAGTAAAAATCACTGTTTACCACGGAGAAACTTGTTAGTCTATAAAACAATTTTAAATAATAAGAATATGAACACAAATGATTGGTTTCTAATGATGATTAAACATTTAGGAATCAATATTTTGATGATTGTGTAAAAAATATTTAGATTATTTTTAGTTAATCAATAATTTCGTAATGGGTCAGTAGTAGATGTCTACAAATCTACTACTGAAATTGGATTTCAACATGAAATGTAAATATGAATTTAATTCAAGTTTTAAAGAAGAAAGAATAACTATTATACTTGAATGAAATCTCATCTTAGCAAACTTTAATTTAATTCTAAAAGAACCTGAATGACATGAAAACATCACTTACCTTTTAAATGATGGTATACCACTGGCATAACGAATCAACTGTCCATGCGCATCAACAGATACAATGATATTAGCAAAATACCAATAAAGATTAGTTAAACCGACGACAAATGCAATCACCATCTGAAATATTTATTGAAAATTGATTAACCTATGTGTGAATATTTACAAACAATTTTCATTAAACGGCAGACAAACGATGAAATGCTAGATAATATGCATTCAGTGAGACAAAATTAAACAAGATCCATCTTTCGCAATCAATGTACAACAAATACAAGTAGACAAATAGACATATTTAGTTCAATTACACGTGTACATAAACGATCAAGATTATAAGTGAATGATTGACAAGATTATGCAAAAAAACGCGTGGCTTCAATTCGAAAAAACAATTTTTGTCTCGTACTCAACACTAAGCGAGAATTCAGCAATCTGTGGTAAATTTTAGGTAAGCTATGACTGTCATTCAGTTACACAGTCGAACAACCATCTCATTTTATCGCATATTTCTTTCAGAATTTTCCATAAACCCATCTCAACTAACTTTAATTGGAGTACATTGCAGAATACTTCCGAACGAGAAAGAAAAAGATGATTGATGCTTTCTGGTTCCGGATATCTCCAGCTTTTGTTCAAAGTGGACGAATCCCCATCAATTATTTATCCGAATTCCGTTGATTTTGGTTATTTGTGTTGTTCGAAAGAAGTACATGTTTTCCGACTATCATTATCTTCCATTCCTTTCTCAATAAGCATTTGTAAACTTTTAAATCATTTAAGTTATTTTCTAAAATATTCAAACTTCTGTCAACTGTTTATTAGTTTTTGTTACGTTGATTTCAAACTCTTCGATTGCTTTATGCAGAATATATCTCTAAATTTGTGTTTGATATGAAAAGCTGTTTACCATGACAATCGATTGTACCATGTGAAATAATCTTTTCTTTTCATATTAAGTTAATTTTCTCTCTCCTTTATTTACGATTATCATCTTATGTCTATTTGAACTTTTACTTAATTGACCTTTCATTCATCTTCATATAAAATGCTTTGACAATTAAATATGTGTGACCAGATTGTTCGAAATGTATATTTAGCGCAAATACATCACATTTTTCAGATCAATTACGTCTTCGCACTGTTCTATCAAAATCTTTTCTGTGTCATGTAAAAATTTATAATGACTCTAAAAAAATTGCTCTGCATCGAAATCCGTTTCAAAATATTACGTTAATGGTTTGTAATTTCTAGTGAAACTCTTTACAATATGTTGAGAATGAATATGATTGTATGAACTTATTTAAGTAAAAATAATTCTAGATGGATTTCAACTCAGTCACTTGATTTCCAACTAACTTCATGATATAATGAAAATATCATTAGTTAATATAACATTAACTGTTTCACAGAGTTTCTGTTTCTTTATCAGTAAATGTTTGGCAATCATATAAGTGTGTCCGATAGATGTATAAAGGTTGATATCGACCGGTATTAAAATGATAGGTACTCAAAAATCAACTTATCGCGGTAAACAAAGGAAAAATCACTTACCACTGTAAAAAGTGCCATGAATCGTATGATATCCGACACCATACGAGCCAGGGATATTTGAAGGGGTCCAAGTAGCTCCCATGCTGGCATAAGATAACTAATTCTCGAAAATGATAAAACATTGCCCAATGCAAATAGACAGTCAGAAATATACTCCGGGTCATCTGGAGCCCACCAAAGCCGACCTGCGTCGAAATACAAATAATAACCGATGATCATAGAAGGAATTCATAAGTTTCAACAGAAAAGCATAGACTTGAATCAAAGGTTTGTTCGTTACACTAAGGAATATCAATCATATACCTGAATGTTTGCATAATTTGGAAATTAAACTTCTGCGGATCTAGAATCTAATATCACTTTTGTTTCTTTAGTGATAGATTTTGTTCCTGTTTGAGATGGTGGAGTTTCATTCTCTGAGCTGAATGGTTCTACTTGAAGTTTGTGCTAGTATGCTGCTCATAAGAACAATGAAACATCCATTATCAAACCATCCAGTTCACTTATCAAAACATCACCATTATATCCCTATTTCTATGCCATGAAGTTAACGCAAATAAAATAGACTCAAATTAGAAACTTAGAATAAGCCAGTATAAAAGACTAAGTAAGTATCTAGGAAATATTATTTTAATAAACTTGTCAACATCTCCTCCCGTTGCATCTAATTCTAGATTAATTCACGCTAAACCCAATCTCTGCTCTAGAAATTAAATATCGTTCTTTTATCTCCACATCTAAACTGTTATCCATTGTATAATGTTAAATGTGAATATCGCTATGAAAGTGAAATTTCGAGAAGTTTGAGTCCGAAGACTCGGCAACTGAATTTCACATATGTTAGGTCATATAAAGTGTCGTATGGTTGTACAGTATAACTGATTACTTGAAATCAGATACATAAAAAAGTGTATGTCAGTGTGGTGTTCCAAAGGTTAAAGACTGACAGTGTTAACATATGAACCTGAGTTCGATTATCAATGGAACTATGAATGTTCACTGCTGAAGAGTCCAGTAATAAAATAAAATAATTATCCACTGCTTCTTGATTTGCAATTGGCAACCAACCTAGGTCAATCCGTCAATTAAAACCTTAAGATTTAACAATCTTCACAAACTGTTCTAACAAAAATATAAAAAATAAACATTTTCTAACGAAAGTAAAAAAAAGGAACAATTTCAAAGGCGAAACAACTGGTCTAGTGGATATGATATAAACCATTTCCAAAAATACTACTTTTCAATTATAGTTTAGAAATACTCAATCAAATATTGTTTCAGGTTCTAACGAATGGTAAGTACATGAAGTTTTATCATCAATGTAAAGCCCCAATACAATCATTATAGATCTAATGAACTAACTACTGAATGTTTATCATATACACAAGCGGTAACTAACAGTTTTTATTTTGCTACAGTTGTTAATTGCACGAAACGACTCTTCTGATTTGGCATTTCGTTCAGTAAGATTAATCCCTAGTTAGATATTTTGACAAAATATTTTAATTATATGACTAGCTACTTATGAGTAGTAAGACAAATTTAGAAAAGAATAGTTATTCTAACATACGTCATCTTTGACAAATTATACGAAATAGTTACATATTTTCATTTTACTCCAAACGTATTACTAAATAATAGATTTTTTGTACAAGTAAAACTAAGCTTATCACAGTTTATTATTAGTAAGCACACTAGTTAGAAAAAATGAAAAGACATCATAACTAAATATGTGACTATCACAGTGAACAGAGAACTTAAATATAACTATTCAGAGAATATGATTGAAGATTGAGCAAAGAACCATTCCTTTTCAAATATTCTTTTATCGATTGCATACATATATGTTCAAACATATGAATAAGTGTCAACCGAATAGGGATAAATCAACTGTTAGTATAATATGGTGGTTTAATAGCGGGATGCATATGAGGATTAATCAACCGGTTAACCAGTAGAACTGTTCTCTCACTTGTAACGATTAATATCACTCAAAGACGTATTTAGAACAGATTAGCTATTGAATATGATTATAAATCTTTCACTAAACAGCAGCAAGAATTTAACCATGGAGAAAAACGATAACTTACATCCTCTTAACCAATAAGCAGATTCCGGAATTAATATTTTATTCCGATAATTTACATAATCTTCATGTGTTGTCGCTTCGGTACTGGCACAAAATTTTGAACTGGAACATGTAGCATTCAATAGAATTGATTGAGCCACTTTTAGTACATCTTGATATTGTCCCATTGATGCTTGAACTTTAAAGTCAACTATGATTCTTAAAGAATACGATGCTAAATACAAGGCAATAGATACCCAGTCCATAAAATTATAATAACTACGAAAAAAATAACGTAGTCCATAATGATAAACTTGCTTACATTCCATACAAAGTTGACCTATGGTAGATTGAATGAAATAAAATATTGGATTGTTTTAAATAAATTCAATATGACTGTTAACAATCTGAAAAAATACTGATGAAAATTTATTAGGCTTAAGGATTGCTTAGGCTACATTAACCCATGGTTATATGTATTAATTTGAGTATTATTTAGTTTGATGATATTATAATTTAGGAGTTATTGATAATATAAAATTTTTTGTTCAATTGAGGTTGAAACACTCAAATACATTTTTCGTCCATTAACGGAGACTGCTAAAGAGAAGCTAAAGATTCAGTTATGAATTCGTTTTCTTGCGCTTGTTAAGCACAAATTTTCAGGTAGAAAAATCTAAGATTGTATAGAATGCATTTTTATAAGTTGCTATAAGTTAAGTTAACTATAACAAATCAATCATAGGATTCATCAAAATGTCAACATTTGGGACGTGGCCCTTGCTTAATGATTGATTTGAGTACTTTCAAGAACAAACTACAAGCCTCACTAGCTGTACACATCCACTACTCCTGCTGCTCACAGGACTCAAACTCAGGACCTTCGGTCTTGCACTCGATTGCCTAACCTGTGCACCACTGTGTCGGTATCTGGCGGTTTAAATGTCTAAATTGGATCAGTCAACAGTCTTGCGCAACCTCATTCAATATTTCCGGTGAGCATATATATTATGGTAAATGAAATGAACAATATCAGTCCTAGAGGCCACTAATCATTGTTAGGTAAATAACCAGAGAGTTTTAATCAGTGTACAATAAAGTGTGCTTTCAAATGCAGCTCACCATGATTTCTAATACAATGAGAGTTAGTAATTATTTAATATTAAGACTATTCAATCATCAGTCAAAGATTAATAATTGCCTTGTGTATGTATAACACAAAACTAATTTACAACTTATCAAATCATTTTGTTTAAAACATTATTGATTAGATGAAATTATTCACACTGAAAGCTGAGCTGATTCCATCGAAATTTTTGGCAGTATGAAAAACGGATAAAAATAAAATTTAGAGTTTCCAAATAATTATACCTTAGCATACTTCCCTCATTAATTAGGTCGAAGTTAATTAATCGAAGAAATCATCTGTTAATTTTCCGTCTACATGACCTGATTCTCAGTCAACTGAACAGGTAATCACCACTTAAACTTCAATTTAAATCCACTGCTTATTTACATAAACAAACAACTATGACTGGTATGATTAAAGAAATGTGATATTTATTAGTATAGGGGTTTTGGGGATTATTGAGTTTCATTGAAACTATAAACCAATCAATGTTAAACCATTCTTGAAAACCTTGAAACACTGGACTAGCTTTAAGAGGGAATTCTTGGAGTTCGAGCGAGAAGCCATGACCAGTAGAGTTCAACCGTCTCGCATATAAGGCAGTGACACACCATAGATAATGGAAAGTGGCTGGGCAATATAGTGAATTGAATGAGGTTAAAAATTAACACCTATGAACTCTGACTCAAGGGTCTAGAAGTTAAGCGCTCGCGTTTAAGATTGAAGGTCCTGGGTTCGATTTACGCTTAAGGGATCATAGATGTGCACTACTCAGAAGCCGAAGACTAGAACGAGACAGCCATTTGATGCTTCCGTTTTTCTGAGGGTGATATTACTTAGGATGGATCATTATTTCAAAGGATGTGATATCTAATTATCAAAATAATTATTACCGGACAATCGACTTAGTGGCCTATGAAATACCGATAATTTACAAGTCACGAGAGCCGAACATTCCTACTCAGATTTCATGTATGATCACGAGTGTATGCCGAGTAAAAGCCCCTAAACAAAACGATACAACTGAGGTGGTGTTTCGTTCTCTGAGCTGGATGTTTTGGTTGTGGAGCTTTCATTGTTCTTCTGAACAACATAGTCTTCTAAATGAAGTTTGTGCTGATGATGTTGTTCAGAAGAACAATGAAAAATCCACAACCAAAACATCTAGCTCACAGAACTAAACACCACCACAATCATTCACCTGAGCTACAAATTTTCTAAACTATCTCAAAACGACACAATGTTTTGTGTTACCTGTTTTCTCAACAACTGATCCCTTATTTTATGACAATTCACAGAGTGAAGTAATATAAAACTGATGATTCTCTACATACGTCATGATGTGGATCAAAATGAATGAGATTTTTATTACTAGGCCATAATAATTCAATCAGTAAAATGATTGCTTACAAACTAAAAAAAACTTTAAGTAATTTACATTGAAAGAAAATTTAGTATTTCATAACAGACATAATTATTTCGTTGGTTTAATGCACAAAATAAAGTATTATTATCAGACCATTAATTTTTTTAATAAATGTCAGCTAAAATTTATCCCATTTTTATTATATCACTTAACGGTTTTTTTTTAAAAAAGTGATTTTTAAATACATTTTTGATGAAATAGTTAATTGTTTCTAAACTTACTACGAAGATTAACTCACATTCCATCATTTCTCTCTGATTTGTTTTCAGTTGTTGTGAAAATCATAAATAAATAGTATAACTACTCAGTGTTACCTAAGTCTAGTTCACCTGAATTTTGTCGTAAATTTAGAATACGTCATTAGGAATCAAGATAATTTATCCAAAATTTTAATTTCAACAAATAAATGAATAAAATTTCTCACTTCATGAATGATTAAATAGAGATTTTTCATCAAAATTTTAGAAAAATATTATTTTTTCTACAAAATTCAAAATTTTAGTGTTCGTTGACCTATGAGTTTTTAATTTTTCTTCGTTTACATTTGACATAATTTAACTGAAACCACTTCTAGTTGATTAAAAAAAGGCTGTTATTTGTAAATTATCCCACTTTGAAGTTCATCTATGTATAGCTTTGAAGTTAAATAGAATACATTACAGCTTTTACTGAAGACTCAATAGAAAATGATTTAAGTTTTAGTCAGTTTATTTCAAATTTATGGCAGCTGGTAAAAAACGACCAAGAGTAATATTTATAGCACTGTTTCATGATAGCTTTCATTCCTCAGTAAAATGGTATTAAAAAAGGCCAACTATCACGTTATCTGAATTTAGAACATTCTGTATTTTGTCTCTGACCGACTAACATAAAAAGCTGGACCTCAATATCAACTCTAGTGTTCATAACTATAATTTAGTTGCTTAGAATTATTCAGTTCCGGAAAATAAACATTTTATGTATAACGTATAAGTAAAACTTATGTGAAACAGAACCATTGCAGATATTAAAAAGTTACTTACCAAGTATCCAAAATAATAATATTATTTGAATTTTGGTCATGACTACATGAGATGTTCGAAAATCATAGCTTAAAATTTCTGTATATCTAACTTCCCAATTATCTTCACCATCACTGACTGCTGAACGATCCAAACGAAAAGTAGCCACAGTAATTAATATTAAAAATGTCATATATGAAACCATATGACCAAGAAATTTTGTCACGGGGCATCGTAGTATTTCTGTCACCTTAAAAGTGAACAATATTTTAAAATTGTTCAATATTATTGTTTATATGAGTAGTAAGAAAAAGGTTCTTTGCTTGTAAAAGTGAGATTCTTAGTAAACACTTGGAATTTCCTTCTAGATATCATCATCATTTCTCAATTTTCCCTATCATTTAAATATTATTTCTGTCATGAACAAATTTCATTAAATAAGCTGTGGAGTAATCAATAAGCGTTTCCTGCGATTTGGAACTGTATAGTTTTGCACCTTCGAGTTATTATAGGGAATCAAATGTAAGTTCGAATCGATTACTCTGTATTTAAACTATAAAATCGAATTTCATCCACCCATATTGATAACTACGGTCAAATATATCTCTGAAAGTGAGTGAATCTACAAGTGAATACTTGTAATCATTTAATTGAGAGGGAATAGCTATCCAGTCTACTGTTCGTTTTAATACTTTTCAAATTGATGTCGGTCTAAAACGAAAACGTTCTCAAATCATTCATATTTTGTGAAAATTATCTGAGAAAAATTTGACAAATGTATGTCTTTGGACATAAAATGAAAATAATACTGATAATCTCTGAGAAAATTATAAACATTTAAAAATAATTACGATGCATTCATGTATCGTTTTACATCGACATCAGTAAACATGGTCTTTTTTGTAGTATCTATAGTATCTGTAACTTTTTGTATTGCTATAAGGAATGCGTATTTACTGATGTTGAATTCACATAAAAGTTAAATTCAGTCGATATTTATTTACTTTTAACACATAAAAGAACATTTCGATCTTAATAGTTTGAGATATTACGCAGTCCAAATTTGGGAGTTCACACTAGTTATGATATTTAAATATGATTTACTTATCTTACACTTGTACAATAGCTATTAACTGGAGAAGCACAATGTTTTGAAGGAGTACTTCATAATTGTTTCACTCCAGTATAAAACTTATTGGCAGTGAGCTCTGTCGATCCTGTACGGAATTAATTCTCACGTCAAACATACCGTTTGTTAAAACAGTCATACTGAAGTTATCTATGTCTTAAACATCCATAATGTTTTAGTACAGTACAATCTTCAATCAAACATATTCACACAGTATATTGTTTAACTATAACTCCAGGAAACCCACTATGAGTAATCATCTAAACTGTATTTTTATGATTCATTAATAATATTAGCTGAATCTCTGTTCATTTTAATATCTTGATTTCACTAAAAGGTTTCATTTTTTAATCACTATAAGTATAAAGAAATCAACAAATTTCGCAATGTAAAATTTCAGCAGGATTATAAAACAATGTTTTAGTCAGAGTTAATATAAAAAATGAAAACTTTGTCAAAGTAAAACAGGAATGACAGTATAAATCTCCTTGTTTAACTAGTTTATATTAACATTAAACAACTGAACATTTATATATTCTAGTGTGAAATTAAGGAAACGAATTTTGTAATAAAATTTTACGTTGAAAGCTTTAATACGCATGTCATACAATGTTTAAAAGTATTAAACTATAGAAGCTAGTACTATTCTAACTTCTACCCATCTATACAATATCTTGGAAGTATTAAGGGAAAAAATTAGGCAATGTTTTATTCGTCTACACAATATAGTCAAAACTTATATGCATATACATATCTAATTTGAAGCAGTCAAGTACTGTTTTTGGATGAAATACATACATAGTAAAATTCAATAATTTTTTTGATGTATGCATTATTAACTGTCTTACAAATTTTATTATATAACTTGGAAACTCTATTTCTATACCATACAAGTTTTGTTCTTGAGTTTTTGCAATGAAACTCATTTTAAAAGGTTAAAAAAATTGGTATACAATAAAATTAATTGATGCAAATCCAACACTGAGAGTAAAATACCTTTATTCTATTAAGATAGAGTTAAAATGCTTTCATTATGCGTATGATTGTGGTATTTGACAGCAATTGGTAAAAGTTTATTTTGAGGATCTAATGATTGATAATAAATTTTTTCTCTTCATATGAAAATTACATTTTGAAAGTGTGGCAATTGCCCACCAATCGTATTGAACGACTGCCAAGCTATGATGGGAATCGATTTTAACTACGATTGAGAAAGATATTGAAAAGAATATTTTTGTCTAGTTAACTTACTTACTCCTGTTACCTCTAATAAAGTATAGGCCAACGATTAGAAATTTTTAACAAATCTATCCTGAACCTTCCTTTCCAGTTTTACAGAAGTGCTGCTCATTTTTCTTATGCCTGTTTCGGATTCTTGAAGTGATGTGTTATTTGGTCTTTTTCTTCTCCTTTGGCCTTCAGGATTCAAAGTGACGGCTAGTCTTGCGACCCAGTTTGGGGGCTTTCCTCAAGAGGTGTCCTACCCCTTTTCCAACACTTCTTCCTGGTTTATTCGTCTTTTAGAATTCGGTTTATTCTCTCCCACAGTAAGTAGTCGCCAAAAGTATCTGGACAACGGATCCGAAGTATCCTGTGTAGATACATCTGTAGCATGTGTATGACGGCTTTCATAGTCCTCCAAGTTTACGGTCCCTACAGTAGAACAGTCTTGGCGTTCATATTGAAAATTGTAACTGGTGTTAATTTGCAGTTGTTCTAAGTTGCAGAAATTCTCTAATTGTAGAAATGATCCCCTTGTTTTGCTGATCCGCACCTTCATGTTGGCACCAGATTCATCTTGTTTACCAATGATTCTGTACGGGTATGAAAAGTGTTTAGATCTTCCAAGGCTTCTCCGTCAAGTTTGATTTGGTTGGTGAATGTTGAGACTTATTGCTTCAGTGGCTGCTGCAACACTGGTTTTCTTCATCTGCATTTGTTGTTGTGTATAGGATGGAAGAGCTAGATCATTTATGCGTTCCAGATTGTCTAGCTGCACCCAAATTGTTCAATGTATTCCGTGCTTCCGCTGAGATTTTGACCTCTTCAAAATGCAGTCAACCACCAGGAGAAAGAGAAAGGATGATCGTCTTCACTTGGAATGAATCTGAATTGTTTTGTCTGTTTTATGTTAGCAAAAATCCTCATCTGTATACCTTTGTAATGCTTAGTAAAAGAAGATTTTATTATCCCTACATATATAACTGTGAGTGATGATCTTTTGCTTGTTTCAAGCTGCATGTTCAGTGAAAGAACTAGTTTGAGGCTAATCCTAACAAATGTTCTTTGTGTATTTACACTAGAAAGTGCTACTTTTTATTAGTCGACTGATCAGTCTGTGTGTCTCTACCGGGGTAACTAAAATTATAACTCAATGCAACAATGAATGAATTCGCAAAAGTACTGTTTACCCACGTTGGTGGCACATGAGAAACATTGAAATGGTTTATAGTATAGGATGCAAGGGAAGTTAGTAGTAGAGATTCTTTTTAGTTTTATTTCCAACTGCTCAAAACCTAACATGTTACGTCAAAGCAGGTTTTACTTACTGTAATTATATGGTCGAATATTCAGTTTGATGTAGACTGATATAAAAACCTAAAAGTTTATACCCGTAAAAAACTGAATCAATTTTAACCACATAATCGCTAAGTTTAATTAATGAGAATCTATTTTTCTTTTGATAAAGTACAAAAATAACTTAATGTTCATTAGTTAAACAAAATACACTTGGTTTTTAAATAATCATTATACTATAATTACTATTATTATTATTACTTTGGTTTTACAAATGTCTGTAAAAATAACAAACGTTTTCTTCTCAGTATTCATCTACAAAACTATTCAAAATTCATTTTATTTGTATGCTAAATGATCGATTCTTCTTGATTTACAACTTTTCCTTAGTTTTACACGATTGATCTATTTCAATATGAAGAATGTTTATGTATAAGTTTGATGTAATCATGCATAAAATTAAATTCTTAATATTTGGTAAACAATAGTTTTGTGATTTACACGTGTAAAATGTCTTTACATGGCATGATTGTTTTACGCAGTCTAGTGAACAGTGTTTCTTTTGCAGAATATCATAAATGAGAAATAATTAGTAGTCATTATCATTGTTTATTTTTTACTGTTGAAGAACAAAATCACTGTGATAAGTTGTTGTTTTTATATAGGATATGGGTAAATAAATGGTTGGCAACAACTGCAAAAACATTCCACATTCTTTTCAACAAGATTTGGAAGGTAGAATAAGTACCAGCAGACTGGAAAGAAGGCTACCAGATCAAAATACTAAAGAAAGGCGATCTCAGCAAGTATGAGAACTACGGAAGCATCACTCTTCTCTAAATACCAGTCTCCGGAGGACGTAAAAGCCTTTACATTTTTGGGCAGCACCATTGACGAGCTAGGTGGATCTGATGCAGATGTGAAGGCGCAGATAGTCAAAGCAGGAGCTGCATTTCTACAATTGAAGAATATCTGGAAACCAAAACCACTATCAACCAACAGCAAAATCAGAATTTTCAATACAAATGTCGAGGCAGAAACTTGGAAAACTACCAAAGCCATCATGCAAAAGATACAAATATGCATTAACACTTGTCTATGCAGAATTCTTAGGATTTGTTGACCAGACACCATCAGCAAAAAGCTGCTGTGGGAGAGAACAAACCAGATTCCAGTAGAAGAGGAAATCAGGAAGATGTGGCGGAAGTACATAGGACGCACATTGAGGAAAGCACCTAAATACGTCATAAGACAAGTCCTCACTGAGGATGTTCAAGGGCAAATGGAAAGAGGAAGGCCAAGGAACACATTACGTTGAGAAATAGAGACAGATATGAGTAGGATGAACATAAATTGGATAGAAGTGGAAAGGTTAGTCTAGGACAGACTGGGTTGGAGATTACATGTCAGCGGTCTAGGCTCCACTGGGGGTAACATGCGTAAATGACTAAGTAAATAAGCTTTTCTGGATCGATATGTCATATTCATAATTTAGAAAAATAGTTATATTCTCTATGTAACATAAACTTCTATATACAAGATAAGATGGATTCGTTAGAGTTGTGATGGATATAGTTCAAATTCTCTTCATTTTGTAAACTGCA